AAGTCTTTCAGTTGATTAGTTCCTCACTTTCTCTAGCATGTGTCATGTAGTGACTATGCATGAAATTCTAAGTAATTCAATTGCAAGGATTTTATCTTGTTGAAATTGATTAGAAATAGAACTGTGGTCACTCATTAAACCAAAGTGTGGCATTATCTTTTCTCAGTCTTTCCTTTGGCAAAATGCACACAATATTGGAAAAACACAGCTAGAATTTTACTGATCCAAAAGAATGCAAATGACAAACAATTATACCCTCAGGATGAGCCATTTTCTGCATGGCTGTTGGAGCAATCATGATTGGCATGGATATTTTGAAGCCCAGAACAGTAGTTGTCATGTCTATCTTGCTCACATCAATAAGAATACGTGGCCGAAACCTGCATATCATGCAATCATGTTTTCAGGATATCAACATTTGCTTGTATTCTTAGAAATATAAGTCCACAAAATATCAAAGGAACATAATTAATCATTATCTTTTTTTTTTATCAATGGGAATTGAACTTGCGCATACTACTAAACTAACCGAACTAGAACTAGACTCTTGATACATAATTAATCATTATAGTTTGGTAACCGACAACTGTAAGGCAATATAAAGGAAAAAATCTCACAAAATTCTGGAAAAGGCATTTCTGTTCTCCTGCAGAGTCCACTGGTCTTCTGCACCAGATGCGTAGTAGTCAAACACCATCTTTGGCAATTTCTGCTTTGCAATTGCCTCATACTCGGTCACATTGGTTATCTCCATTTTCAGAGTTGTTTGTTGATGCTACCCTTCAGGAATTCTGTATAAAAAAACATATATTTTCAGCTATCATATCTTTTATCACAATCTATAGCTACAAAGGTGTAAGATATTCCAAGAAACTATGGGCTGATATAGGAAGAAAACTACTATGCCAACCCCAAAACTTCGAAATAATCATAACAAATTTTGAGGCAGATTTCAGTTGTAAAAATTTTCAAATAAAAAAATAAAATGGAATTGGGAAAAAAAATCCTACGATTTCCTAGACTTTGGACATTAAAGAGAGAAAAAAAACACTTTGGTTTGGATATGATACACAGCCACAGTATTGAAATTAAAACATAAAAGCAAAAGTAGGAGCCGAAGAAAGAGAACAGTTACATAATGAAAAACTCTGCCAAGAAAACCGAGGCTACATGCTTCAGTTTTCCTTTAAGATTTCAACATATATAGTATTGCCCCCATCATTTTACGGCTGAGCCTTCTATAAAATCTTCAAAAACATGATATATAAAAGGGAAGAACAGCATGTGTATCTAGTAAAAACAGAAAACAGATGCAAAGAAGATTGATGCTATGAACTATGAGCTATCCAATCACAAAACTTGGTCCAGCAAACAACAGTGACCCTTAAACTCATGCACAAAGTCAGTTTGACAAACACAAATCAATGTATACATACAAACAAACACTACTATCAATCTGTTTAGATAGAAATTAGAAGTGTTTTCGAGAACTTTTCTACTGGAAGTGGAGAATATCTGAAAAACACTTTGTTACTTGTATCTAAATAAAACTATATCTAAGAAAGAAGCATGAATATAAAGGTCACATGAAGTGGTGACATGTTGAGCATGGAAACAAAGCACATAACTGATGGGAAACAAAAGCAGACCTTGGTTTCCAAAACTATGCAGCGGTGTGCATGCAGAGGAACCAGTGGAGAGAAGCTCCTAAGTGAGGAATAGAAACAGAACGAAGTGAAAAATGGGAAGGGTTGATAAATACGTGGTGGAATAGAGACAAAGTTGGATGGGCCTCAAACTTGTTATAACGTGTATAAGGGCATACGAAGGAGAATTAGAATTTTCAAGTGGATGAGCTTTTGGAGGCCAGCATTATTTTGAGCCAAATCTCATCAACAAAGTGAGGTGCTTCTCAGCCACAAAAGCCTTGTGTGTTTCACAGCACTCTTTTCTTTCTCCATTATCATTTCCATCTCTAAATATCAAAAACAAAAATAACCAAAAATAAGAGAAACTGTTTGTTCCTATATTTTTCATGTTAAATACTCGTAGATAGAGTTTTATTACCAATAACGATTTCAACTCGAATAAGATTATCTCTGGTGGATGATACTTGTGAATGAACTAAAAGAATATTTTTCATATATGTTTGGAGTCATGAAACCAGCAGAAGAGAGATATCCAATAACCATTGCCCTTGGATGAAGGAGTGACACAAGTGGGTTGAGCATAAGCTTATAGATAATGTAAAAAATTAATCCATTGTCATTTATCATCTTAAAAAAAGAAAATCTGTGTCATCACATCACTGCAACTATTTATTTTCAAAAAATTACATTACATGATTTACCACATAGGTTAGTCTGTTGTTATGGTTAGTGATTTAAAGAGGAAAGACGTGTATTAGTGCCACTGTTTTTTTGGTCTTTGTATATTAGTAATAGTACCACTCTTTTAAGATAATGTTTTTGGTGTATAAATATGTAATTGCCAAATTTTATTGACTGCAATTCAGCCACATATGTCAATTTTCTCATATCTCACGTCTCTCTCCATTTTCTGTTCAAATTGCCATCCCTTTCTTTTTCGGATTCGGTTTATCAGCAGTTCCAATTTGAACCCTGAGGTATGATCCAAGGGCTAAAATTTTATTCAACACATTTAACCTTAATATTTTAACATAACCAATCCTAAATAGATTGGAATATACTTAGATCAATAGAAAGTAATGAAATAAAATGACACCAACAACTTTTATTGTTTGAATCGATTAAAATAAGATGAAATATGACATAATTTCATTCAATTTTTTTAGCATGCAAGTATTTTTTCTTTATATTTTAATATGAGGGTATAAAATAATAATATAATTCCATTTATTACATTACAACGAAGTTAGATTTTGAAACATGAAAATTAATGGCAAGAGAACCTACCTTAAACCACAATAAATAATTGATAAAACTGTTTGCAGATAGATAAGTGTACTGTGTTTACGGGGCACAGATGTCAAGAAAAGTACAGGTTCATAGAATTAAGCTGAGCCCACTCCAAAATCCAAATGAATAATGAATGAGCTGACCCACCCACACCCTCTATAAGAACATTTAAAAAATATACAATTATTTTGTAGGTTATTTAACAGGAAAATAAAAATAAAAAGAACATTTATTAAGTTAATGAATAATATTTTATTCATAGTTTTATTACTTAAATCTTTAAAGTTGTAGGAGTATATATGATTTACTCAAATTTATGCTTTGAAATTTGTGTAACAATTTTAGTTTATTTCTTCTTTCTTCTTCCACCTAATTTGAGTGGATTGATATTTGGGTGAGACCCAGATTTTTCTTTTCGTCGCATATTTTTAGGTTTTCTAAAGGAGAGAAATTTTGTTTGTAAATCGTGTAATTCTGTCATTCTTTTTAATTTTCGTACTCTCGTTCTCTTATAGCAAACAAGTGTTAAACAAGATTTCTAGGAGGACTAATTTCGACAAAGTGGAAAGATATTCCTATTAACTATGGTAAAAATAAAAGTGTTAAATCAAGCCTTTTTTTTTTTTTTTTCAGTTGTAGATTAATTTATTTAAAAAATTGATATCGGTCCTTTTTTTTTTTTTTAAATTTAAATCCTCTTATGATTTGCATGCTAAGTATTATTATTTTTTTCATATATTTTTAAGATATTAGATAGATTTATTTTTATGTAATATTTTACTTATAAATTACTAATATTAAAAAGATATTTTGTGTCTCTATATGTTTTATTTAAAAATTAAAAAATAATAAGTAAAAATAATTAAAATTGAATATGAGTAATATTCACATAAAAGTATATACAAATGTAGTTATAAAAAAATAGTTTCATTAATAGATTAGTAAAACATTGTAAATAGATTTAATGTTGTTTTCAAAATATTTCTTTTGCTTAAAAATAATATGAAGAGTGCTACGACACTTTCTCTAATATTACTTTAATAACAACCTTTGTTATTTGTAAATTTACTGAAAATTATAAATTTTGTATGTTTTATTTAATAACTTAAATATTTTTTTAGTCTATCAAATTTAAGGTAAATTTATTTTTAATTCTTCAATTTTAAAATTAATGTTTTTAATTTTTATATTTTTTAAAAATCTTGTTTTAGTTCTTATACTCAAAATTTATTAAAAAATATGTCAAATATGCATAAAATCTACCTAATGCATCTATCAGTAAAAGTATTATATGCATAAAATCTATCTAATGCATCTACCAGTAAAAATATTATATTAAATTTAGTTGATACTATATAACTCTCTTAATATGTCATTTTCATATATGTTATTGGTGGCCTAAATAATTAAAACAAATTTTTTTGAGATTACAAGGATTAAAAAGATCGATTTTAAATTTGGGAGACTAAAAATAAATTTATCTTAAATTTGAGTGATTAAAAACATACTTAAACATTGTTTTGTAAGTATTTAGTGGTAAGACTCACAAAAATAATGATAATGAACCTAGAGAGTATTAAAAAGAAGGGGAAAAATAACTTAAGTTCCTCAATTAGATTTAAGAATATAAATATTGTTCATACCGTAAGTCTGTTGTAATCGCATACGAGGTATTGTCCGCTTTGGTACTCGTTGGGTTGTCATAGTTTTGTCCTTTAAAAGGTGTCTCGATGGGTTAAGGAGAGATGTTGTTTATAAACTACCCTTATCTTTAACTCCTAAGCGATATGAGACTTTTAGGCAACCGGAACAAGCCCCCCAGTCGATGCTAAGAGGCAAGAGTGGCCTAGGCCCTCCTTCTAGTGCCAAATGTTCCTACCGTAAGTCCTAGGCCACTCTTATCCCTTAGCATCGACTGAGGGGCTTGTTTCGCTATGCTTAAAAGTCCCACATCGCTTAAGAGTTGATGCTAAAGGTAGTTTATAAACACTCTCTTCCTTAATCCTAAAGATAACAACGAAATTACGGTAGGAACAAATATATTTTATCAAAGTAAAACTTTAATTATAATTGTAAAGATAGAAATGATACAGTAAGTTTTATCCTAAAAGGAAATAATTTTAATGAGTATGACGTGCATTTCTCAACTAATATTGATAAATGCTATTTTTACACCTCTTTTAATATCAATATTTGGGAGGGAAGGTTTTATAATGGTGGGCGAGGGTTCTCTTTATTATATCAATGATATGGTGACCATTTTTTTTATTTTAAATTTTGCTGACACCCTTTGTACTTTTGAATGGTAATACTGGGATATATCGTGTTTTTCTTGAAGATAGATTGCGTCTTACTAAGAGTCATTTTAGTCGTAATTAGATACGTGGGAATCATCTGTTGGTCTAAGTCCAATGTCAACCATCTGTTTGTAAAATTGTCTCTGAGGAAAAAAAGGCAAAAGGGTACTTGAAAGTCAGGGATAGGAAGATACGTTGGTGTGGTACAAGGTTGTATGGTTATGGCATATAGGAGCATCAACTTGGTGATTCATCAGGGGTCAATGTCGCCCCATGAATTCCCTGTAGCTTCTCAACTGAGACCTGCAAGCTTTCATCCGTTTTCTTCAACTTGGGTTATTACCAATGGAGCCCTTAATGTGTCACCACTAAGGTGGAGCTACAATGCTTCTTCTTGTTATTGCTTCCGTTTGAGGGAGTGCAGATGCAAGTGGAAACGGCTTGTCAGAAGCTGTTCCACCAGTGAGTTTGTTGTTGCCAGTGATGAAAATTATGGCAACAAGCAGGTTGTTAGCCTCACTCCCCGCCTCTACGAATATGTCCTCAAAAATGTTCGAGAGCCAGAGGTGAGGACTCAGGAACATACCCGTTTGCTCCATTCATTGTTTAATAAGAAAAATATCATTTGTTTAAATTCTGATATCAACTGTGCTAAACTGTGTTTGTTAAGTTGCCCTTTGTGCTTATTGTAAAGTAGTTGCATTGCAGATTCTAAGGCAATTGCGAGGGGAGACGGCCTCTATGCGTGGAAGTCAGATGCAGGTGCCTACAATCATTTCATTCTTATGCAAATTGACTTGCACAGTTTACTAATGGATTTGTCAACATTGAGTTTAAGCTTTTATGTGATGTCTTCACTATGCTAGCAGGGGTTTATTCTTCACATTTGGTTTTATGAAAGTAGGGTACCATAATTGTAACTTTTATTCATTGTTTGTTCCTATTGATTCTATACATAATTAATCATGTTTGCTGACTGCTTGACCTTGAAAACTGCTCTAACCAGGGAATTAGTTATTTGAATATTTGATCCAGAATTGGTCTGCTTGTAATTATGAATATGCAAATAATGTTAAAGCTTTGCAATCTCATAAAGAAAGGGTTTAGTTAGTAACATGCATACTGCTTGAGTTAATTCATATATACTATTATTGATGAAATGAAAATATGTTGTCTTTAACAATTTTGGTTAAAGAACTAGAGTCTAGAGGCTTCGTGTGTAAAGTAACTAGTGCGAGTAAGTTAATTTGATTGTTAATTAACTTATCCTGTCTGGCATAAAGTTTGAATTTGTGAAATTTGATGGACAGCAGTCTCACTTGCCTTTTATCTTGTCTGTCATGTTTCACATTGTAATCCCACTTGATTAGCAAGAGGTAAAATGTTGACTATACACTGTCTTCTTAATAGGTGTCCCCTGATCAGGCACAGCTGCTAGCAATGCTTGTGCAGATTCTTGGAGCAGAACGGTGTATTGAAGTTGGTGTTTATACTGTATGTACTTCATTTTTATACACTTTACTCTAGTTTTCTTCATGTTACACAGTAGATGGTACCACTTCTCTTCCATTAAGTAATGAGGTATGATATTATTGTTGATTTGAACCAGGGATACTCATCTCTAGCCATAGCATTAGTTCTGCCGGAATCAGGTCGTTTAGTTGCCTGTGAAAGAGATGCCAAATCTCTTGATGTTGCCAAGAAGTATTATCAGCTAGCTGGTGTTTCACATAAGGTATATGCTACTCATATGCTTTTGATTTGAAAAGGGTTCAAAATTTCTGTTTCTCTCATTGGAACATATGGACTCTTTTTTATATTATTTTAAAGTAAACATTCAAATTGGTCTCTAGATTTAGAAGACGTCATATTAGTCCTTGAAGCTAAGAAATTGTTAAATACATCCTTGGTAGTATAATTAAAAAAAAATGTGACTAAAATTATATATATATATATATATATAAATTTTCAAGAGACAATAAACTAGCTAAGGATATTTCTTAATTATTTTTTTAAAATATTACTACTTCTAGAGCAAAATAGATGTATGAAAAATATAATATATTTTTTAAATTGAGAAATCATAAAAATGACATTCTTGTTATGTATCTTTAGACATCATTTAATATCAAAATCTACACTAATTTTTTTTATCATTTCATGTATATTATCTACAAATAAATGCTTCATACAAAAAAAAATTAAAAACATATCTCACTAGCACTTTATTTTATCATTTTAGGAAATGAATGATACAACACAATCATATATTCATTTGAAAAAAAAATCATAACTTGTTTATGTCTTTCTTTAAAATAAAAAATAAAATAAGTGATTCTTTCTCATTATACTTATTAAAAAAAATCATCTAATAAAAATATATTTATGTCATTGCTAGGTTGACTTTAAGGAGAAAAAAAATAATGCTAAAAATTAGGGAAATTATTCTCTTTATAAATGTTGTATCGAAAAAATAAGGAAATAAATATTGATCATAATTTCATTAAATTCTAGTATTTTGTACAAATCACAATCAAATTATAACGCAATGATATTTCCATCAATTAAACTAATAGATGCATAACATTATGAAAACAAATAATATTAATTCTATCAATAGAATTTGAAATTAAACTCTTTTTAAGATTCAATGACGTAACACATGAGTTCAATTACACGACAAGTTGATTATTTCAATCAATTTAATCATGAATAATATCAAATTACAAATGTAGAAAAACTAATAATCAAACCTAAATAGGTTTAAGGACACACTTCATTAGTCATAATATTTATAAGTGTCTCAAATATCATTCAACATTATAATTATGACATTAACAAAATTATTGCATTTCCGGTGGTGACCTCATTTATATCAAAGGATCAAACACAATGTAATATATCTATATCAATTTTTTCCACTTCTGGTGAAATTTATTTTATTTTTCACTTTTCATATTATTTTCTCACTTCTAGTGAGAAAATTTATTCTTTCATTTTCATTTTTTTCATCATTCTCCCACTTCTGGTGAGAAAAAAATATTAAATATTTTTATTTGACAATGTCTTCTAAACCATTATAAAAATAGTTTTATAATTTTTTTATTTTATCTTTAAAATCAATTGTATTTAAATAAATTTCACAATCATAAAAATACAAATATTCTATCAAATTCATAATATGAAAAACATGATTACATAATAATGACAAAATATATTACGTCAATGAAATATTGATATTTCTCACTTCTGGTGAGAAAAAATAATAAATTAAAAAGAGATTGAATATTATCTTTTGATAGCATTTTCTAGACACATTTCATGGATGTATAAATTTTTTCATTTAATAATGTCTTAAGGACTACTATAGTGTCTTCAAGACTACTTTAATACATAACAATGTAAACAATAAAAATATTTGATAAAATTCTTATCGTGGAGGATGAATAACTAACCTTGAAATATTTGTTTTGAAAAATATGTTTTTCTTCATGAAAATTCTTCATAGTTTTGTCTTATAGTCAGTGACGGATCCAGAAATTTTATATAGTGGGAGCAATATTTATTTATATATTTGTAGTATTAAAAATTTTATATATAATTTTTAAAGACATAAATATATATCATAATTATTTTTTACAAGTTTTCTCACCAGAAGTGGGAGAATGATGAAAAAAATGAAAATGAAAGAATAAATTTTCTCACTAGAAGTGAGAAAATAATATGAAAAGTGAAAAATAAAATAAATTTCACCAGAAGTGGAAAAAATTGATATAGATATATTACATTGTGTTTGATCCTTTGATATAAATGAGGTCACCACCGGAAATGCAATAATTTTGTTAATGTCATAATTATAATGTTGAATGATATTTGAGACACTTATAAATATTATGACTAATGAAGTGTGTCCTTAAACCTATTTAGGTTTGATTATTAGTTTTTCTACATTTGTAATTTGATATTATTCATGATTAAATTGATTGAAATAATCAACTTGTCGTGTAATTGAACTCATGTGTTACGTCATTGAATCTTAAAAAGAGTTTAATTTCAAATTCTATTGATAGAATTAATATTATTTGTTTTCATAATGTTATGCATCTATTAGTTTAATTGATGGAAATATCATTGCGTTATAATTTGATTGTGATTTGTACAAAATACTAGAATTTAATGAAATTATGATCAATATTTATTTCCTTATTTTTTCGATACAACATTTATAAAGAGAATAATTTCCCTAATTTTTAGCATTATTTTTTTTCTCCTTAAAGTCAACCTAGCAATGACATAAATATATTTTTATTAGATGATTTTTTTTAATAAGTATAATGAGAAAGAATCACTTATTTTATTTTTTATTTTAAAGAAAGACATAAACAAGTTATGATTTTTTTTTCAAATGAATATATGATTGTGTTGTATCATTCATTTCCTAAAATGATAAAATAAAGTGCTAGTGAGATATGTTTTTAATTAAATTTAGGGATTTATTTGACATTTTATGGACTTATTTGATAATTTCTTAGTTTCAGTGATCAATATGACAGTGTTTTTCAAATTCAGGAACTAAATGAGTGTTTACTTGTTATTTTATGTACCGTCTATATTTTCTGACGTTTTAACATAACTGACTCTAGGTGGATGCAAAACTTGGACTTGCAATGGATTGCCTAGAATCTTTAATTCTGAATGGTGAAGCAGGAAGGTATGTGGATTTTCAACATCACAATGGTATGATTTGATATTTCTCCCTCTTCTATTGTGGTTAGGAACTCTTCCACTTCCACATTTGCCATGTTCTCTTTCAACAAGTATTGTTATCAAGGATCCCATCTTTATGATATGAATATTGTCAAAGAAAAACAAGTAAAAAAGAATTTAAGAAATATTTCATTTTCAATCATGCAGTTATGATTTTGCGTTTATTGATGCTGAGAAAAAAATGAACGAGAAATATTTTGAACTGCTGCTACAGCTGGTAAGAACATAATAAAAAGGTCAAAGGCATAAGAGCCTCTTATGCTTCTTAATCACAATAATTTTTTTATCATCTTTCTTATTGAGTTGCTAATTGCTATGAACTTTTATACTGATGCACTGGATAAATTATTGTTGCAGGTGAGGGTTGGAGGTCTTATTGTAATTGATAATGTCCTTTGGCATGGAAAAGTTGCTGACCCATTGGTGAATAAATTCTTCTGTGTTTTCCTTTATTTCCAGTTAAATGAACTTGACTTAATGTACTATCCGCAGGTATATGACCCTAAAACTATCAGCATTAGAAATTTTAATCAAAAGTTAATGGAAGACAAGCGTGTAAGCATCAGTATGGTATGTTGAAACCAATTTTTTTTAATTATTAATACACTTTCAGAGAAATTCTGTCAAGTTGATTTATAATCTCTTAACTCTTTTGGAGAGACTCAGGTACCTATTGGAGATGGGATGACAATCTGCCGAAAAAGATGACCCATTTTTTAATAATTTGTTGGTAAGTCCTTTGCAATTGAACTTACACCCTTTAGAGGTAATGCTTCTGTGAGATACGAGGAAAGCAAAGTTGTATAATTAGCATAAAAATCATAAAGGCACGTATGAGTAAATTTCATTAGAAACAGCTCTAGGAGTGAAAAATAAGAAAGAAAAATATAATAAGTTTTTCTATAATCTAAAATAAGGTAATTTGTAGAAGTTCTATGTTATTAGTTTTTCCAAAATTTTATTTTTAACTCATACATAAGTTAGTTTTAGTTTATAAAAAAAATTATTTCAATTTTTCTTTCTATTTTTATTTCTTAAAAATACTTTTGGAGAAACTTATCCACCTAAGTCCTAAATGTTCTTAGAACTTTGGAGTTGCAGGGTCCATTCTCTAAGGCTCCTTTTGGTAAGGATCTGAGAACTGCATACTAATGAATGTCATTTTGGCTCCACAGGGAGGTCTTCTCTGCCACAAATTTTGTACAGAATAAAGGTTGTGACACCCTCTACCTCAACATTAATACACAATAAGTATAAACAATAATTTTTTTTTCCTTTTTGAGTAAATAAAATCTTTCATAATTGATAACCTCTTTCATGGATGAAATATTTGTCTCAAATATTATAAGGTAGAAAATTCACATTCGTAACTCATAAATTATAGAAAGTCATCATGTAAGTATAAAAATTCAAGAAATCATACAAAGAAAAATATAGATTAATTCCAGCAAAGGTGGCAGTGTCTCCTAGTTAGGAATTAATTTATAACTTTCAAATTATGTAATAAAAATAATATGACAAAGATGTATATTTTGGTCTTTTCTCAAGAACGTTCAAAATTACAAAAGAAAGATTATAACTTTATTTACGTTATTTCTTCGCTAGAAATTACAAAAGAAAACAAACTAAAGTTATTAAAACAATAACATATTAGACTAAGCTAGCTAAGCCCCGATGTCACATCCTATCAGAGCATGCCCAACTGAAACCTTAAGTTTCATCACCAACATCCTCATGATGATGATCACCTACAACATAATTTAAACATATACAAGAACAACAAGGGAGTGAGAAACATCTCACTCAGTTTCAGGTGCAGAAATAAAGGCTAGATAGCACACACACAACATATATAAGTCACATATAAACAATACACATAAATAATCGATATCACATATATACTCATTTATCATGCTTATGATGTCATGGACTCGACTCATAAATGCATGCATGTGGCGCCATACAGAAGATTCACAATTCATCATTGGTGACCCCAAGGTACACCTTGTTAGCATGTTACGTCGTGGGTGACCATAAGGTACACCTAGCATGTTACGTCGTGGGTGACCCAAAGGTACACCTAGCATGTTACGTCGTGGGTGACCCGAAGGTACACCTGGTTAGCATCGTTGGTATGCGGCCTCAGCGGCACACCTGGAGTAATATATGCATATGATGCATGTCATACATTCATTATTTCATGGACTCAACATTTAACTTATTACATAATTTCATCAAGTATATCATGTCATTATTTTTCATATTCTTATAATCATAGCTTGTCTCAATAGTCCATTCTTAGGTCTCATGTCATTTGTCCATATTTCATAAGGTCATGTCATAAATACTCCCCATAAGGTCCGCATAGGAATTCCTAGAGAACATTCTTTTTCATATTAAAACTTATTTAGTTTTAGCATTAATTTCATATTCATTTATTACTTTCAAGGAACAAAGTAACAAGGAATAAAGTAACAAAGAACAAAGTAGAGCAAACAGAAAAATAGAACAACATGCAAGGGATTGGGGCCAATCCGACAAACAAACTACCCAACAATTATCCCCACACCCCCGAGCGAGGTTTCTCACTCCCCCCTTACCTGGATAAGCGGAGTTGAAACTTGAGCAGACCCTCCTCCTCTGGATTCCCTATTTCTTTCCCTCTCTTTCTTTCTTTCTTTCTTTCTTTCTTTCTCTCTCTCTCCTCTTTCTCTCTCTAAGATTTCACCTTCTCCCTCAGTATAAAATTTTCACACCCCTTGCCCCTATTTATAGGCATCCTGACGCACCCGAAACGACCCGTACTGATTTCGGAACGGTCCGTTCCGGATCCTTCGAATATATGCAAATTTTTCAACTGGAACGGCCCATTCCAAAATCGGAACGACCCGTTTTCAAAAAGCAGAACGGCCCGTTCTGAAATCAGAACGGCCCGTTCTAGAGTTCATTTTTACACATATTGACCATAATGAGAACGGCCCGTTTCCAACTTAAATTTTTAGACATTTTTATTACTCTGGAACGACCCGTTTCACTTTGGGAACGGTCCGTTCCGGAAAAACCCAAATAGGCCATTTTGCACATTTGGAACGGCCCGTTCCACATTTGGAACAGCCCGTTCCGGCGTAAAAAAAAGAATTTTGTAAAACTTTCACAAATAATTTTAAATTATTAAAAACCTTTACAAATATTTTATAAAACCCCTTTTAATTAACCAAAATAACTTATAAAAATAATCTTCATAAATATATAAAAATAGACAATAATTGATATTGCGATAGTAGAAATTCCGGGGTGTTACAATTCTCCCCTCCTTTTTGAAATTTCGTCTCCGAAATTTACCTGAAAATAGAAATAGATAAGTTTCTCGCATCTTACTTTCTAATTCCCATGTAGCACTCACTACCGTATTGATGTACAACTCTATCAATCTCTCCAAGAAATGTTTAATGTTAATAAGTACAAGGTGACCAAACTTGGTAAGCCTATCCATTAACCAAATAAGATCAAATTTCTTAAGAATATCATACATAACTACAACTAAGTCCATAAATACAGAATCTTATTTCCAAATTAGGACGTCTAAAGGTTACATAAATCTGAGAGTTTTTGGTGTTCTACCTTAGCTTTCTGACATATTAAGCAATAAACTAATAGATGCATAACATTATGAAAACAAATAATATTAATTCTATCAATAGAATTTGAAATTAAACTCTTTTTAAGATTCAATGACGTAACACATGAGTTCAATTACACGACAAGTTGATTATTTCAATCAATTTAATCATGAATAATATCAAATTACAAATGTAGAAAAACTAATAATCAAACCTAAATAGGTTTAAGGACACACTTCATTAGTCATAATATTTATAAGTGTCTCAAATATCATTCAACATTATAATTATGACATTAACAAAATTATTGCATTTCCGGTGGTGACCTCATTTATATCAAAGGATCAAACACAATGTAATATATCTATATCAATTTTTTCCACTTCTGGTGAAATTTATTTTATTTTTCACTTTTCATATTATTTTCTCACTTCTAGTGAGAAAATTTATTCTTTCATTTTCATTTTTTTCATCATTCTCCCACTTCTGGTGAGAAAAAAATATTAAATATTTTTATTTGACAATGTCTTCTAAACCATTATAAAAATAGTTTTATAATTTTTTTATTTTATCTTTAAAATCAATTGTATTTAAATAAATTTCACAATCATAAAAATACAAATATTCTATCAAATTCATAATATGAAAAACATGATTACATAATAATGACAAAATATATTACGTCAATGAAATATTGATATTTCTCACTTCTGGTGAGAAAAAATAATAAATTAAAAAGAGATTGAATATTATCTTTTGATAGCATTTTCTAGACACATTTCATGGATGTATAAATTTTTTCATTTAATAATGTCTTAAGGACTACTATAGTGTCTTCAAGACTACTTTAATACATAACAATGTAAACAATAAAAATATTTGATAAAATTCTTATCGTGGAGGATGAATAACTAACCTTGAAATATTTGTTTTGAAAAATATGTTTTTCTTCATGAAAATTCTTCATAGTTTTGTCTTATAGTCAGTGACGGATCCAGAAATTTTATATAGTGGGAGCAATATTTATTTATATATTTGTAGTATTAAAAATTTTATATATAATTTTTAAAGACATAAATATATATCATAATTATTTTTTACAAGTTTTTATATCTACGATTATAATTAAAGATGAAAATAAATTATGTCAGA